TCGCAGATGATTGGCGTGCGGAGCCTTGTCACCTACACAGCGCACACACCAAGTCAACCTGGCGCTGATGACTGCCTCTGATCAGCCACGTCGACCTCGGGATACCACCAACGAGGTCGGACTCGCCAACTTCGCCTGGGCGACCGTCGTACTCCTCCGCAGAACCTCGTCACCCAGGTAACCTGGTCGACCGGGAAACCACGTCGACCAGCTGCTCCTGTAAGTGCCCGTCGACCTCCCAAGTCGACGATCACCCCAAGTCGACCTCCCCAGGTCGACCACTCCCCTGGTCGACCAGCTCCAGGTCGACGTCACTCCTGGTCGACCAGCTCCACGTCGACCAACACTCCTGGTCGGCCAGCTCCATGTCGACCAGCGCCGTTGTCAGCCGACCTCCCAAGTCGGCTACCCGAAGTCAGCGTCACCAAGTTGACGCCCCGCTACTCAACGCCCAACTGCTCGGCGTCCTGAGTCGAGGTCGACGTCGGCCCCTCCTTCATCGACCACCAGGTCAGGTCGACCACCAGCAGGTCGACCAGGAGGCCTGGTCGACCAACCACCAGGTCGACCAGCAGACCGTCAGCCGACCACCGAAGTCGGCTGCCCCAAGTTGACGTCACCAGGTTGACGTCCTCCGCAGGTCGACTTCCCAGGTCGACCTCCCTGAAGTCGGCGCCACCCTGAAGTCGGCGCCCGTGCAGTGGCCCTCGTGCAGGTCGACCTCCTTGTCAACCAGCTTGCCCACTGCTGCAGGTCGGCTGCTCCCCTCACACCCGACCACAAAGTCGGCTCCGCCCAAGCGAGGACGGGGCCAACACACAACTCCCGTTGACACTCCCCCGCCGCGTTCACGCTTGGAACCCCAGCCCACACGGCAGTACTCCTCGGAGAAAAGCTCGTCGACGTGCACCCAACACACAGCACGTCGTCCACCGCACCAGCCATGCAAGAGGGTATGGCACCTACTGCTGCACGTCGTCATCTTCGTCGCCCACGTCGGCCAAACGCACCTGGCCGATGGCGACGGAGCACCGGTTGAAGGCCGGATAGTGCAGCGCCTTCGTCAGGAAGTCGGCCGGCTGCTCGGTGGTCGGGATGTACCTCAGTGAGAACTTCCCGCGCCTCACCATGTGCTGCAGCCAGGCCTGTCGCCGCTCCATGTGCTTGAGGTTGCCCGTCAACCCCATGCCCTCGGCGACCGTGATGGCCGACTTGTTGTCCACCCGGAGGACAGTCGGCTTCCCAGCATCCAGCTGCTGGAACTCTGCGAGGAGGAAGCGAAGTCGACGTCCCTCCTTCCCGGCTTCCGTGGCCGCCACGTACTCCGACTCGGTCGACGACAACGTCGCGCACTTGATGCACTGGCTCGACCAGGAGACTGCAGCCCCTCCGTAGACGAACACGTAGCCGCCCGTGCTCGTCCTGTTCTGCTTGTCACCGGCGTCATCGGCGTCCACGTAGCCGACCAGCTCCAACGACTCAGGTCCACTGCCGAACTCCAGGGCGGTGTCACGCGTGTTGGCGAGGTAGGCGAGGCAGCGGTCGACCTCGCGCCAGTGCTGGTCACTCCTCACCGTGAGGCCGCTCCCCAGCTTGCTGCAGGCGAAGGCGATGTCCGGACTCGTCGTCGTCGCCGCGAACTGCAGCGAGCCGACCTTCTGCCGGTACTCCTCCTCCTGTCGCTCCTGTGCCTCCTCGTCGTCGAAGGTGAGCTCGGCGTAGGCGTCGACCGAGACCGGCGTCTTCGGGGTGCGCCCGGTCTGCTCCTCGTCGATGAAGCGCCTACGCAGCTTGTCGGCGTAGCCCTGCTGGTGCAGCCACAGCTTCCCCGCCGACCTGTCGCGGACGATCTCCAGCCCGAGGTACTTCTGCACCGGCGAGATCTCACGCAGCTCGAAGGCGGACTCCAGCAGCTCCTTCAGCTCCTTCAGCATCTCGGTGCTGCTGCTGGCGGCGAGCAGGTCGTCGACGTAGACCAGCACCCAGCAGGCCACTCCGTTGTCGCCGACCTTGAAGTAAAGAGCCTCGTCGACCTGGCTCTTCTTCCACCCGGCACCGACCAGCACGTCGTTGAGCCCCAAATACCACAGCAACGACGACTGCTTCAGCCCGTACAGGCTCTTCAGCAGCTTGCACACCCGGCCGGTTCCGTCGTTGAAGTAGTCCGGCTGGGACATGTAGAGCACCCGGTCGAGCTTGCTCTGCAGGAAGGCGTTCTTCATGTCGAGCTGCATCAGGTTGAGGTTGAGGACGGCGACGATGCTGAGGAAGATCCTCAGCGTGACGTAGCTGCCCACCGGCGTGAACGTCTCGTCGTAGTCGGCGCCGTACACCTGCGTGAAGCCCTTCACGACCAGCCTCGCCTTCTCGCGCTCGACGGTGTCGTCAACGTGGTACTTCTTCGTCAACACCCACCGGTTCTTCATGATGTTGACTCCCGGCGGGCGTTCGACCAGCTCCCAAGTGCCCATGTTGATGAGGCTGCGGATCTCTTCCTCCATGGCGGCCTTCACCGCCGGGCCCTTCCAGCTTGCCAACGCCTCCTTCACCGTCATCGTCGAGATGTCCCAACGGTGTTCGGGGTCGGCCAGCATGTCAGGGTCGAGCTCCGGAAACTCCTCATCCTCCTCGGCGTCGTCGTACAGCAGGTCGTCGTCATCGTCTACGTCATACACCGTGGTGAAGGCAGCGGGGACGAAGAAGTCCGGCAGCCTCCGAACTCTATCCGACTTCCGGGGTTCAGGCCGACCACGTCACCCTTGGTGGACTCTTCGGCGTCCCCTCCTTCGTCACCGTCTTCACTGCCCTCGTCGTCCTGCTGTACCTCGGTCGACTTCCTGGTCGACCTCTCCCCTGTGGTCGGCTTCCCTGCCGACTGCCTGGTTGCCGACTGCTCCGTGGTCGGCTTCACTGCTGCCTGCTCCCCTGTTGGCTGCTGCTCCTCGATCTGCTCCTCCCCTATCAACGTCGGCTTCAATCCCACGTCGACTTGCCGCTCGTCACGTCGGCCACCGGCGATGCCCTGGGCCGGCGCCGAAGGCGACGTCCCACTGCTCCCCTCATCGCCGGAGGCCGACGTAGGAGTCAGCCCGTGCAGGTCGGCCACGAGGGGAGGGGCAGGGGTCGTAGGGGAAGGGGAAGGAGGACGGACGACCTCGGCGTCCTCATCAGCAAGCTCACCGACCTCGGCGAGCAGAGGCAGCGTCGCTGTCGAGGTATCGGTCGGGGGTTTGGTCGGCGTCCGACCGGACACCGGCCCGTGCTCCGACTTCCACACCTCCGGCGACATATCCTCGTAGAACACCACGTCCGACGTGGTGACCACCCGGTTGGCGTCGATGTCGAGGAGCTCCCAGCCCTTGCTCTCCCCCGACACGCCAAGGTGAAGGCCCCACCTGGCCTTCAGCTTCAACTTCCCACCACGCTGCTGCTCGGGGACAAGGAACTACGCCATGCAGCCCCACACCCGCGCCAGCGACAAGTCGGGCCTCTGCCCGGTCAGCAGCTGGTACGGCGTCGTCCCCGACAGCAGAGTCGACCTCTCAAGGCAGTTGCGGACCCAAACGGCCTGCCGCAGAGTGAGGTGCCACCAGTGGTGCTGCACGCCCATGTGCAGCAGCATCGTTCGCACCGACTCCACCACCGTCCTCATCTCCCGCTCCGCCATGCCGTTCTGCTGCGGGGTGTACGGGCAGGTGAGGTCGTGGATGATCCCCTTTCCGTCCACGAAGTCGGTGAACTTCCTCCCGAGGAACTCCCCTCCTTGGTCGGAGCGAAGCATCAGCACCGACTTCTTCGTCTGCCTCTCCACCAACACCAGCCACTTCTGGAACTCCAGCAGCACATCCGACTTCTTGGCGACCGGCCACACCCATACGTAGCGGGTCTTGCGGTCCTTCAGCAGCAGGGAGTACAAGCTGCCGTCCTTGGCAGCCACGCGGAACGGCCCGCACAGGTCGATGTGCACGACGGCCAGCACGTCGTTGGCGTCGGAGCCTTGGTCGGGGAAGGTGTGCCGCGCCAGCTTCCCGCCGACGCACGAGACACACGGGGAGTCGGCGCCCGTCGCCGACTGGGGGTCCAGCCCAATGGCGACCTCGTTCTTCGCTGAGCTCCTGATGATGTCCATGCCGACGTGCGCAAGCCGAGCATGCATCCTGTCCGGCGTCGACTTCGCCTTCGAGACGATCGCCCGCAGGGCCACAACCTCCGTCTTGGGCGATGTCGACCTCGTTGAGCAGGGACGCAGGTCGGTGCAGAGGACACGCCCGGAGTACGTCGCCCGACCGAGCACCTCTCCGGCTGCCGAGACGAGCAGCATTCCGTCTTCGTCCTCTTGCAGCTTCACGCCGTGCTCCTTCAGCTGGCCGGACGACAGCAGGTTGGCCCGCACACCCGGGACGTACAGCACGTCGGGGATGAGCACCTGCTTTCCGGCCTCCCCTTGCAGGGCGACTGTGCCTCGGCCCTGGACGTCCTGCAGCGCCCCATTGAAGCCGCGCACATGCTTGATGGAGCCGCTCGGCTGCAGGTCGACGAAGACTTCCTTCGTCCCCATCAGGTGGTGGGAGCAGCCGCTGTCGAGCAGGACCACTGCCGAGTTCGCCTGCACAGCTGCCGCCACCGCCTGGAAGTCCTCTCCGGCCTCTGGCGCCAGCGAGACGGTCGGCTCCACGACGTCGACCAGCGAGAACGACGCCGTCTTGTCGTCCCGCCCCTTTCCGCTTGCAGAGGAGTCGGCGTCCTTCGCCGAGGTCGACGTCGTCGACTGCTTCTCCTTGCGCGGCTTGTTTCCTCCTCGACGAGGACGACGACTGCCAGACCTCCCGCGGCCTCCCTTGGCGTCGTCGTCGTCGGAGTCACTGCGGTCGGGGCACTCGAAGGAGAGGTGGTCGGGGTCGCCGCACAGCCAGCACTCCCGACGTCGACTTCCTCCTCCTCGACCGCTGTCCTTGGTCGACTTCTTCTTGTCGACTTCCTTGGTCGACTTCCATCCACTGCTACCTCCGCCGCCAGACTGTCCGCGCTGCCCTGGTCGACCTCCTTGCTTCGTCGGGGCGACGAGGTTGGCCTGCGCCAAGAGCTCCTGGGACCGCTTTGCCTCCTGCATCGCCTCGTCCTGCAGGATGTACGAGGTCAAGTTGTCCTCGTTGAGCGTCGTCCTTGTGCCCGGCGCCATTGACAGCCGCTTCAGGAGGTTGTAGTTGCTCGAACGTCCCTGCATGACGTGGGTGACATACGACGCCGTCGAGTACTGCGCGCCGGCCATCCTGATGGTGGCGAGAATTCGTCTGGCCCGGTTGCAGTAGTCGGTCGCCGTCTCCTCGTCGCCCATACGCAGGTGCGTCAGCTGTCCCTCCAGCTGGGCGATGAACAGGTCGTCGGTGACTTGGTAGGTCGACTCAATGAAGTGCCACGCCTGATGGCCGGCGTCGAGGTACTCCCGACACCTCTTCAAGGCGATCTGCACGCCCGGCGAGCAGCACCGCGAGATGACCATAAAGGTCAACAGCTGCACGGCGCGAAACTCCGTACGCAGGTCGGTGTCGTCCGGCGTCACCACGGCTCCTCGGGCAAAGTTGATCAGCCCGGCCATCTCCAGCTGGGGCTCGATGGCTTCCTTCCAGGTGAGGATGTCCTGTCGACCAACTAGCGGCGGGGTGACCAAGATCCTGTCCGGCGCAAACTTGAAGAAGCCGTAGCTCGGTGCAATCCCGCCCGCCGTCACCTGGGTCGCCGACATCGGTGACAAACCGCTTCGTCGTCCTCCAACGTCGCCCTGCGAGGAGCCTGCAGCCGCCGACGACTGCACTCCTCGCGCCTGAACGCCGCCGACTTCATCGGCGTGAATCACACCACGCTGCCTCGACGTGCCTCCCGCACTGCTGCCGACTTGGCCACCTCCGGCGTTGACGCCCACGTCGATGCCGCATTCGTTGGTCACCGGTCGAGGAGAAGCTGGTCGAGAAGGGGGGTGCTCCGCTGCCCACACGGAGCGGAGTCCGGCCTCGACGACCGCCCAGGGTATCGTCCCGTACTCCTGGGCGTCATGGCGTCTCCTTGCATCCTCCAGCCGTCCCTCCAGGGTGTCCATCACCTTGGCGTCACCTACGCTCACGCTAGGGACCTGTACGGCTGCCGACCTACGAGCAACTTAGGTAAGTGGCCTCTACGTCGACCTGACTGAAAGGTAAGTCGTGTGCCGTCCACGCTCACCGCACCATGCGGAGATAACTACTACAATGGGAGCTAGACTACAGGCTAGGCACGGGTGCTCGTGTGATCTCTGCGTTCGTTGGTCCTTAGTCGTTTTCCTAGTGCACACACAGCTTGCTAGTTCACAGGGAGAATTGGCAAGAGTTTCACTAGAGAAAGTTGACAACAATGGTACAATGAAGTTGGCATAGCAAGACTACATCAGAGCTAGCATTCAGGTCGGTCGACTGCCAGCGCAGCATGGTCGACCGCGTTCCAACACGACTTGGTCGACCGCGCTCCAGCAGTGCAAGGTCGACGGCGTGCCAACGTTGCAGGTTAACGGCGGGCCAGCGTTGCTCCCGCAGAACAGCATCGCACCAGCTTCGCAAGTGCTCGCAGATGATTGGCGTGCGGAGCCTTGTCACCTACACAGCGCACACACCAAGTCAACCTGGCGCTGATGACTGCCTCTGATCAGCCACGTCGACCTCGGGATACCACCACCGAGGTCGGACTCGCCAACTTCGCCTGGGCGACCGTCGTACTCCTCCGCAGAACCTCGTCACCCAGGTAACCTGGTCGACCGGGAAACCACGTCGACCAGCTGCTCCTGTAAGTGCCCGTCGACCTCCCAAGTCGGCGATCACCCCAAGTCGACCTCCCCAGGTCGACCACTCTCCTGGTCGACCAGCTCCAGGTCGACGTCACTCCTGGTCGACCAGCTCCACGTCGACCAGCACTCCTGGTCGGCCAGCTCCATGTCGACCAGCGCCGTTGTCAGCCGACCTCCCAATTCGGCTACCCGAAGTCAGCGTCACCAAGTTGACGCCCCGCTACTCGACGCCCAACTGCTCGGCGTCCTGAGTCGAGGTCGACGTCGACCCCTCCTTCGTCGACCACCAGGTCAGGTCGACCACCAGCAGGTCGACCAGGAGGCCTGGTCGACCAACCACCAGGTCGACCAGCAGACCGTCAGCCGACCACCGAAGTCGGCTGCCCCAAGTTGACGTCACCAGGTTGACGTCCTCCGCAGGTCGACTTCCCAGGTCGACCTCCCTGAAGTCGGCGCCACCCTGAAGTCGGCGCCCGTGCAGTGGCCCTCGTGCAGGTCGACCTCCTCGTCAACCAGCTTGCCCACTGCTGCAGGTCGGCTGCTCCCCTCACACCCGACCACGAAGCCGGCTCCGCCCAAGCGAGGACGGGGCCAACACACAACTCCAGTTGACAGTGGTGCTGCGGGAGTTGGAGCTGGAGACCCTGGAGCTGGGGGTACTGGTGCTGTCTCTGCTGGTTCTGGCGGCGCTGCGCGGCCGCGGCCGTACTTCGCTCCACTTCTTCAGCAGGTTCTTGACCTCCCACCTTCTACTGGTCCCACTCTTCCCTTACTGTGTCCACAGCCTGCCCCGTCGCAGTCGCAGCTACAGCCAGCCTCTCCGCTGCCTGGTCCTTCTCCTTACTCTGGGCCGACTAGAGGTCTTACGGAGCGTCGTGCGCCTGAGTCTCGTCCTGCGTCGCCTGAGTCTCGTCCTGCGTCGCCTGAGTCTCATCCTGTATCGCCTGAGTCTCGTCCTGCGTCGCCTGTTCGCGCTGTTCGCACTGGTAGTCGTGCTCCTGCTGTCCCAGGCACGCACCGGATGGCACTTCGTCCTTCCACTGCTCCACTGCGTGTCCCTCTGCCGTCTCCTCATGCATCCTCCCTTGCTGACGGTCCGGACCCGGAGTCTTACTCCCTTCGTGCTGCTAGTCCTACTGTCACGCGTCTCCTGGCCACTGTTGTCACTGACCCGTCGTTTGAGTCCACTGCTGCGTCTGCCCTAGTTGCTGAGCTTGTTGACTTTGCTGCCGCCTGTCGTCTAGACTACGCCGCTAGTCTTGTTGCTGAGTCTGAGTCTGTCTGTCCTCTGTCCGTCGGGGGTGAGTGTGCTCTTGGCACGGACGTCCTTGAGGACAGGCAGGAGGAGTTTGAGTGCTTTGCTGCTGCTTTACCTCATCTCATGTCCATGCTGATTGCCCTTGAGGGAGACCCGGATGCACCAGACATCCCGACCCCACGCTCTTACGCAGAGGCGATAGAGGGTCCCTACTCCTCTCAGTGGCAGACAGCCATGGACGCAGAGATGGCTTCCTGGAAGTCCACAGGCACCTACGTCGACGAGGTTCCCCCGCCTGGGGCGAACATCGTCAGTGGCATGTGGATCTTCAGGGTGAAGCGGCCGCCGGGTTCTCCGCCTGTCTTCAAGGCGCGTTACGTTGCACGAGGCTTCAGTCAGCGAGAGGGAGTTGACTTCTTCCAGACCTTCTCCACCACCCCGAAGATGACCATTCTTTGGGTTCTGCTGCACGTAGCTGCTCAGCGTGACTATGAGCTGCACTCTCTTGACTTCAGCACTGCTTTCCTACAGGGCAGCCTGCACGAGGAGATCTGGCTGCGCCGCCCACCTGGCTTCACTGGGTCGTTTCGTGCTTGTACCCAGTGGAGCCTCCGGCGGCCAGTCTACGGTCTCCGTCAGGCGCCCCGTGAGTGGCACGACACACTGAGGACGACCCTTGCGGCTCTTGGCTTTGCTCCTTCCACTACTGACCCGTCGCTGTTTCTACGCACCGACACCTCTCTGCCGCCGTTCTACGTCCTCGTGTACGTCGACGACTTGGTCTTTGCTACTTCTGACACTGAGGGACTCGCCCACGTGAAGTCGGATCTGCAAAAGAGACACACGTGCACAGACTTGGGTGAGCTGCGCAGCTATCTTGGCTTGCGGATCACCCGGGACAGAGCACAGCGCACCATTACTTTGACTCAGTCACACATGGTGCAGCAGGTCCTTCAGCGCTTCGCCTTCACGTACTCCTCGCGACAGCCCACTCCTCTGCCTACTCGCCACTCGCTCTCAGCTCTGCCTTCGGATGAGTCCGTAGAGCCGAGTGGCCCGTATCCAGAGCTTGTGGGCTGCCTCATGTACCTGATGACCTGCACTCGACCTGACCTGGCATACCCTCTTAGCATCCTGGAAAGCTATGTTGCTCCTAGGAGACACAGGAAGGAGCACATGGATGCCGCTAAGAGGGTGTTGCGCTACTAGTGCAGTACGTCGGGCATGGAGCTCGTGCTTGGAGGACGGGCTCGAGTTGTCCTCACTGGTCACACAGACGCTTCCTGGGCTGACGACTTGGCTACGCAGCGGTCGTCACAGGGTTACACTTTCAGCCTTGGCTCCGGCTCTGTTTCTTGGCGGTCTACCCGCTCGTCTCTGTTCTCAGCTCCTGCTGTGAGGCTGAGATCTACGCAGGGGCCATGGCTGCACAGGAGTTACGCTGGCTCACCTACCTGCTGACCGACCTGGGAGAGCCGCCTCGTTCTCCTCCAGTGCTGTACGTCGACAACAAGGCCATGATTGCCTTGTGTCAGGAGCACAGACTGGAGCACAGGACGAAGCACATCGCTCTGCGCTACTTCCTTGCTCGAGAGTTGCAGCAGCGTGGTCAGCTTGGTCTTGCTTACGTGGCCACTCGGGCCAACACTGCTGATGTCTTCACCAAGGCACTTCAGCCTTCTGATCATCAGCGTTTCTGTACTGTTCTAGGCCTTGTGCCCACTGGGCCTCACTTGCTTCTTGACTTTGCTTGTACTGTGATCTTTATACATATACCTGCATGCTTACACTTGCTAGGTTGTGATCACTGTATTGTTTGTTCGCCTTTATATAACTCTGCATGTGAACTGGCCTTGTGGCCATTTGCTTGTGCTCAGAATGCGTGGTGACTTCGTGATCCACCCTGAGCTTGCTTTGCTTCTCTTGACTGGTCTTGTGACCTCTTGTTCTCCCCCACTTTGCCTATGGGGGTGTGTCAAACTTATATGCTTTAGTCTGTGTAGGCTGTAGTGGGGTAGTTCATATGGGGTACAACACTTTAGGGTTTCCTACTTGTACTCCTCATGCTGCTCAATGCAATCATTCCTCGTTCTATCTTTCACATATGCCTGCGAATCTAAGCGGAGCGGAGGCTTCCTTTTGATTTCCGGCGGTGTAGCGGTACGGCGTGGAGATGGCTGCTGGGGTTAGTCCGGAGCTTTTTGCGATTGTATCGGCGTATTTTGCGGCGCTGAGGTAGATCGCGTTTCTCCGTCTTGTATGCGTTACGGTAGAGGAAACGGTGAGTGTGAGATCCCGCTGCAGTTCCCCTTCAAACCAGGTCGTGATGCCATCGGTGGAGCCTATGTAGAGTAGGTCGTCTACATAGACGATGACTAGGATGTAGTCGGCGGCTTTTGTGAGTCGGTACATTCCCTGGTCATGTGGCAGTTGGCGGAAGCCGATGCGGATTAGTCGGGTGTGCAGGTATTGTTGACACAGTCTCGGTGCTTGTTTGATGCCGACAGGGACTTCAGCAGCTGACAGACTTGATTAGGGTCTGTGTTGGACCCGTGTGGTTGCTCGACGAAGATTTCGGCGTCGACGGGAGCGTAGAGGAACACGTTGGCCACGTCGATCTGACAAAGCCTTTTCCGCTTCATAGCGGCTATCGCGAGGAGGATCCGCAGGGAGGTGTGTCGGCTGACCGGTGGAAAGGTCTCGGTGAAGTCTCGCCCGTGTTCTTGGTTAAAGCCGTGCACGACCCATCGTGCTTTGAACTTATCGATCGTTCCGTCTGCTTTCGTCTTCACACGGAAGACCCATTTTCCGGTGAGTATGGTCTTGTTGCGTGCCACACCGATGGGTACTATCTTCCAGGTGTTGCGTTCTTCCAGTGCCTTTAACTCTCTTTCCATGGCTTCTCGCCACTTTTCCTTGTGCTCCCCCCCCAGAGCCTGCTGAACCGTGGCAGGCTCCTTTGGCGGTGATGCTCCGTGGACGGTGGTGACGAGTCCGAGTATCTGCAGCCCACTCTGTGTATAGC